CCGGGCCCCCTGCCCGGCCCCCCTGCCCTGCCCCGCTCCCGGCGGACACGGCTCCTTCCCTTGGAAGGGGCTCTGGGCAGCGATGCCTCCCGCACGGAGAGCCCAGGATCGGCTGGAATGACCTGCGGGGATGTGTTACTGCTCAGGGGGATTGCTGTGACACGCGGAAAAAAAAAAATAATCTACCCGAGTTAAACAGAGAAGCCCCCCCAGCAGCCTCAGGAACCAGCTGCCCCCGGGGGGGCTCCCCAGTGTAACCCATCAAAAAAAAAAAACAAACCCCACAACTATGAATGCTCTGGGCATTTCTCTAAACAACAGTTTGAGCGGAAAGTTCCTCCCTTTTGGATGATCCCGCTTCTGTGCAGCCTGGGGGAGCGGGAGCCGTGCGGGCCGGCACCGCAGCGCCCGCCCCGCAGCTCTCCCAGCGCTTTGCCTTTTATGGTGCAGGAGGTGCCGGGGCCCCAGCCCGGCCCGGGGACACATCCCGGGGCAGGATGCAGGAAAACACCTCCAGGGCTCCTGGAGAGACACGAGGCAGCGGCACAGGCTGAGCAGGCACCTCCGCGGGGCCGGGAGACGCTTCCCGACGGGGCCGGGATGCCCGAGGAGGTTGAGAACAGTCCCCAGCGACCTGCCCGCTGGCACTGGGATAACTGCATCCCACTGACACTGCTCAGGGCTGGAAAATCCTGCCAGGGCCTCATCCTGAGCCCCCAGAGATGCTGGCAGCGCTCTGAGCACAGCCAGTGCCTAGACCATGGTCTGCCATGGTGCCACCACCTTGTCCCCTGCTCCATGAGCTGGCTCAGGAGCCTGTGCTGCCACCATCGAGGGGAAGGAGCAAGGGACAACGGTCAACCTGGCCCTTATCAGCCCAGGACCCAGCCAGACCCCTCACAGGGCTGATATTTTATCAACGTGTGTTGCAGAGCTGCTCTGAGTGAGACAAAACACCATTTGTTACCCCTGGCAGCTTTAAATCCCTGCCAAAGCTGCTCCAAACAAACACAACTGCTGCCCAGCAGGGCCAGGGCCAGGGATGCTCCTGGTGACACCAACAACTGGGGGAACCTCACAGCACCAGTCCCACCAGGTGGTGAAATCCTGTGGCAAGATTTGATGACAGTTGCACAAGCGACAAATATTAAAGCCAAGTCACCTCCCTGTAGGATAAACTCACCTGACTTGGGCAGGCTTGACGTTGGCATGGTGTCCTCATCATAATTTGGGGTTGTCCCCCTTGAGCCAACGCCCTGGTCTCATGCCAAAGCCAAATACATTTTGGGTTTCTCACAGACCATCATGATCTGGAGATACCAGCTTGGTTTTTTTGGCTTGCCCTTTGTGGGGACTGTAGAAGGGCAGGTGTAGAAGTGTGGTCAGCATCACTTGGCTCTGTTTTTTCATTGGGAAAAGGGATGGGTGTCACCTCCAGCCCCAAAGGAGGGAAACAAGCACCTGGCCATATGCCCAGTGCTGCTCCCCAGCTCTGCCAGCAGGACACTGAGGGGCAAAAAGCCCCGTGGTCAAGCCCAGAAGAAGCCAAGAAGCACCTGGGCTGGGCTGCTGTGCAGCCTCTTGTCCTGCCTTCCTGCGAGCTGCTTATGCAGCACTCAGGAAGGTCTGACACAGGAGCAAGGAGGCTCCTGCTCCTGCACTGTCTGCATAAAAGGAAATGGCAGCTGCAGCAGCGTTGCTGCTGCCCCATCCTTCAAACCAGAGAGGAAGGGACTTTTAGGGAATATGCAACACGCAGGGCAAGGGCTGAGGCTGGAGCAGAGCCCACCAGCTCATCAGCTGCTGCCCTGGCCCAGGCAGAAGAGCTGCTACTGGCAACATGAAACACACACACACGTGTGTGTGTGTGCAGAGGAGCTTACCTGTGTAGGTTCTCCAAGCAGCAGCAGGTTTCTGAGGGCTGGATGGAGATGGAGCCCAGGGTCTGGGCAGCTTGGCTGGCAGCTCCCCCATCCCCTGCAGCCACGGCAGGAACCAGCTCATCTCACACCAGCACTGCCCAACCTCACCTTCTGCTTACCAAAATATTTATATTTCTACCTCTGTGGGGGCTGCTGTGGCCATCCTGCAGTGACCCAGTGTGAACAGGGGCATCACCCTGGGGTTGCAGGAGCCCTGCTGTTGGAGCAGCAGCTTCTCCACTGCCTAGAGCACCGAAGATCACATCCTTCCTGCTGCTTCTCCCCAGGCATCACTTTGTTCACAAGAAACAACCTCACCTGCCAAACTGTATCCTTTTTTCCCTCAGTGACATCATTACTGCTGTGGTCACCCAACCTCAACATGAAACTGGGACACACTGGTAGGGAACCATCCTCCTCCCATCAGGGGCCAAGAGTGGAGTCAGAGGTTCCTGGAGGAGATCTGCTCCTTTCTGGTTGCTGCTTGGTGCTGCTCCTCCACCAGGCAGGTGAGGGGCCAGGCCAGACCTCAAATCTTCCCACCACCCCAGGTCCCACCCAGGAGGGCACCCAGTGCCAGGCTGCTCTGGCCATCACCTGCCCCCAGAGGCTTTGTGCTCAGGCATCTCCTTTTGCCAGTAAGGCTATAAATAAACCTTCCACCAGTCACCAGGGGAAAACTTGTGTTGCTCCAGATGTTGCTCCTGGCTTTGCCATAGCAACATCACAACAGGATGTAACATTTGGCCATAACAAGAACCACTCTGCAAAGAACCAACTTCCATCCTAACACAAACAAAAAAAGGACACAAACTCACCGGCAGTCACAGGGCACCCTCTGGCCACCCCACAGTCCTGTCCCGGGGTGTCTCTCCAACATGTAACCTCTTACATGCAACTTCCAAGCTGCAAACCTGCAACCAGCTCCGGTGGGATCGGGAGATGTCCATCCTTGGGAAGCTGAGGTGAGCAGGGAGCCTTGTCTTGTGAATCAGCCACGGGAAGGTGAATGAACTGAGCCAACTACAAACACCTGACCCCAAACTGGGGTTGGCTGAGGGACAGGCTCTGCCCCAAGGACCTCAAAAACAGGCTACAATAAGGAAGTCCCCCCGAAGTGGAGCCTCTGGGGCTCCCAGCCCAGCACGGAGCTCCCAGCCCTGCAGTGGCTCAGCACTGGAGAGTTAACCCCAGGGTGTAAAAGCTGCACACACACACACACACACACCCCCTCTCACTCCCACTGTTTTCCTTCACATGTCATCACACAAAGTGTGTCTGGGCAACTCTGGGAAGGCCTTGACACAAAGCCAAGTGCTCTGTGCCAGGGGGACTCAGCCCAGGGTCTCTGTCCTCGTTCAGGACAGTGTCAGATGCTGGTTCCAGCTCCCACAGGGGGTACCTGCTCATGTGGCAACAGAGCAGCCCAGCACCCAGCTCCTGCACCTGGGGGAAGAACCACAGTTCCACCAGAGATGCTCTGAGATGTAAGGAGGAGACCAAAACCCCCCACAAACCCACCTCAGGGAGCCCATGCCTCTGTGGATTGTTTTCCCAGCTGGTGAACTGCTGCCCATGTGAGTCCCTGCAAAGCCACAAGTGCAGCCCAGAAACGTGCTGGTGACACGCAGTGGCATCAGGCAGCACGTGCCACGTGTGGCTGCAGGGTGACACTTGGCTGCAGGGTGACAGGAAGGTGCTCCCCAGCCCCTTGCTCTCACACAGCACCTGGCTGCACCCTTAGCACACCGGAATCAACCCCGGGCTCTGCTGAGGCTGCAGCAGGGGTTGAAGTCACTAAATTCACCCCAAGGAGCTGGTGGCCTGAGCTCCACGTGCATCACCAGGTCGGTGGCAGGTGCTGGTTCCTGCCCAGCTCCAGCTGGACCCAGTGAGAGGATTCCAGTCCCTGGGGGCAGGCAGGAAACCACCCTTTGCTGCCCACGACTGGTGGCCGACACAGAACTGCCAACTCTGAGCCACATCAGCCCACAACCCCCCTCCCCAAACCCGACAAAGCAAATATCTCTGCTGGGAGTTAACGACCCTTTGAGGCAATTAGCGAGTCGTGCCAAGGCTGGGGAAGCACCCCCCGCCTGAGCCTGCTGCCCTGCCAAGGGAAACACTGACATCTTCCTCCCTGAAGCAGCTCGGAGAGCCAGAACAGCCCCGGCAGTGCCCGGCCCCCCGGATCCCCGCCGGGCTCTCGCCCTTTGCCTTTAAAGGCGAAATTCGGTGGGTGCCGGGAGGGGCAGGTCCCAGCGCGGGGCAGCAGCCGCATCCCGGGATGCAGCTCCTCGGCTTTCACCCGGGGGGGTTTGCCCTTCGGAGGAGACGGGTCTGCGGGCATTCGGGAGCCCGGGGGGCCGTGGTGGCAGCAGCCCCCGGGCAGAGGAGCGCGGGTTCCACGCGGGGCGGGCTCAGCTCGGCTGGAGCCGCTTCCACCCGGCAGCGCTCCCGGCGAGACACCAAAGCTGCTCCTCAAACCCAGCCCGGGGGCTCGGAAGAGGTTAGGCAGAGAACTACAGATCTCAGCTCTAACTCCTGCCTCCAGGAATTTCGACTTTGTTCCCTTTTTTTTTTCCCCTTAACCCACGTGCGAGGGAGCCGGTGCCGCGCCGGGGCTGGAACACACCAAGTGCTGCAGGGACACAGGCAAGAGCAACGGCACCTCCTGGGGTGGCAGAAAACAGCGGGGACCCCCAAACAGGGCAATATAGCCAGGACAGAGGGGAAGGGATAACACGGGGCAGGGGACCACGGGAGCCTGGCGACTGATGCTCCAATGACCCGCACCCGTCGTCTCCTTTCCAGCCCCTCCTCGTGGCCAGGCTGATCCTTCCCCACCTCCAAAAACGCTGCAAAGCTCATTTGTAAATGGAAAACAAAGTTTATTTTTTTTTCTCACAAGAAGCACATAAAATATACAGTACATTTTTACAAACAAAAGTAAAAAAAACAAAAGTGCACGATGCGTCCCCCCCCGCGGGTACAGTACAAAAGATACTGCAGGTTTAAATACAAAACCAGAAGTAAGAAATACCATTAAATCAAAGGAAGGTGGTTATCACAGAGCACAGTGATGCAGGGGAACAGCCACACCTCAACTCACCCACCCCCCCTCTCTGGGGCTGCACTCACAGCCTCACCAGGATGGTCTTCACCTCCCAGAGCAGGGGACAGAGGGACCCGACTGAGCCCAGTGCCACCTTCATGGGAAGGAGACCCATGAGGACACCTACTGCTGCCACACAGACTGACAACGCCTGGACTGGAAATAAGGTGCCAGTTTGGTGCATTTTGGGTTTTCTGGCAGAGTGGGCCTGGGTTTGGATTCACACCCAGCAATCCCCTGAGCGATGCCAGGCTGGCTGCTTGGGTGCCCCTTCCTGCAGCCATGCAGAGACAATGGGGGGCACTGGGAATGGCACTGGAAAAGGCACCAGGAGCTGCCACCAGGGTGTTGACACAGCCCTTTGGTTTTGCCACAGCCAGAGCAGAGGGAAGGGGCTCGTGGCGCAGCCAGCGGGGCCAGGAGGGCGACACACAAGTAGTAATGGTCTCACTGCCACCAGAAACACCAAAAGCACCCAAAAAATAGATAATAAATGAACAGCAACCAGCAGAGTTTAACAGCTCAGCATAAATACACAGTATTTGTAAACTATTCTTAAGGCACTCAATTGTAAAAGAACAATTACCATACGTGGGAGAGAACAAACACATCTACTGTCTCATGCAACAAATCTAACCGAGCCTGCAAGCATCAGAGGTTTGGCTACAAAACCCTTGGAAATGGCACAACTAGTGCTTCTAGCACACGTTGTTGGCTTTGAGACCAGCTCCCACCAAACCACACCTCTGTCCCGACAGTGTCACGACAACGGAGCCCTGAGCCCGGTGGGGTTGGTCCGGGAGAGCCGAGTCCTGGGGAGGGGCAGGAGGGGAAGGCTGGGCAGGGAGAGCAGGGGTTTGTGCCCAGCAGAGCTCGGCAGGCACTCGAGAAAACAGGAAGGAAACGGGGACGTTTGCTTGCATCAGGTAACGGAGTTTTTCTGTAGAGGAAGTTTATTGCAGCTCCGGACTGAGCCCCGCGGGGCGCTGGGCACGGGGGGTTTCAGTCCTGCCCTGAGCACCCCCAGCGCCTGCTCAGCCCCAAAAAGCAAAAGCTTGTGCACGTTTTCCAGGGTCCCCTCAAACCACACAGGTTTTTGTCTCCAACCTGCTCTGCCGGGTGAAGCAGGAGGCGTCGCCTTCCATCCCCAGTGTGCAGCAAATGGGAGAGTCCCAAAGGAGGGACACTGAGCTACTGATTGCCAGTCCCTACAGGGCCTCACACTTCATGGGAAAAGGTGGGCTCTGATGCTTAGGGAAAAAGAAGTTTAATTCTGGTCATTTAGGACAGTAAAACACGTGGCTCCCTTTCTCAAGACAGTGGGGTTTGGTTCATGCAGACCAAGAACAACTGCTGCAGCCCTGCTCCCCCCCTGACCTCAAGGAGGGGGTTTTTAAGAGTGGCTTTGATGGTGACCTTAAAACATGGAGAGCCCACACTCAGCCCAGCTGCTAATTGAGCAGATCCATCCCTTTGCCATCACTGACCCCTGAGGTCCATTTTGACCCCAAACCTGCTTCAAACCATGTCCCCAAAGGCACAAGCAGCCAGCATGGTGTCAGCTGGGAGGGAACCAAGGTCTGGAGCAGGTCCCCTACACCCTTCCCAAGCTGTTCCCTGCTGACTTGGGTCAGTGCATCTCACCCAGAGCAGTTCCTAACCTGGCTGGCTGCACAAAATGTCTTAAGAAAACGTGCATGTCACACAGCCTGGGTGAACTGCTGCGTTTCAAGCATCTCCCACAGCAGGGCAGCAAGAGGAGGAGCTGAGACCCGCCCTGGAGAGCCGGCCTCCCATGTGGGAAGGGATGGGCTTCCTCCCTGCGGGTCACACCAGCCTTCCCCTCCCCAGGGGGAGCCCACCCACACCTTCCCCATCGCTCTCTCTTTGGAGTGAGCCTGTAATTCTCTCTGACCTGCTCACCCTGCAGGCGGCACCCCCAGAGCAGGACTGACGCCTCTGGCAGAGGCTGGTGCAGCCCTGCGAGAGCTGGGACACGTACACCCCAGCTCCCCACACCCTGCGGCCACCAACCTCCTGACACCCAGCATAAATAACCCCCTGGGCCTCGCCAGCAGCTCCCCAGGCTGCCAGCAAGCCAAGGACACAGGAACCATTCTACCAAACCCAACAGCAACGACCAGAAAAGACGCACATTCACCTACTGCCTGCAGGGATTTGGAAGGCTGGGACACCAGGAGAGCTGTCCCTCCTCGGCAGGGTGTGCCACCACCAGTGGAGCAGGGTCCCCACCACAGGATCCACAAGACAGACACAGCCTCACACAAAGCTTCACGAGGGCCCACGGTCACTCACTGGCTCATCAGCAGGGGACATCACAAGCCACGACAACAGGACAAACAGCCACAGAACAAGACACCTCTTCCCAGGAGCCTGTGACAGTGACATGTTCTGCGTGTCACCCGAGCACCAACACGGGACTGGGACAACCAGCGGGTCACACAGCAAAGACAGACTGAGCCAGCAGGTTATGGAGTCAACACTAACACAGCTCAACACTCCTCACAGCACAGCTAGGTCACTCCATGCAGGAAAGCCTCCACCTCCACACCCCTCCAGGCCTTTACATTAAGAGCATAACCTCCAAGCTACAGTTAAATATTGTGGGAAAAGCCTTTTTTTAAAAAAAAACAAACCAAACAAACACAAAACCCAACAAACAAACCAAGACTGAAAGTCAGCAAGAACAGAGGTAGTGTTCATGTCACCATTTTAAGGATTTTTCCACAAGTGCCCTGTTCTAAGAAGAGACTTGTGTTTGTTCTGTAAAAACAAAAAGGTCATGACTAATTATTTTGTCGAGTCTTTGAAATGGAGCATTTCAGCATTTCATATATATAGATAGATCAGCAGATACAAACATCTATCTATATATACACACAAGCAAACCCACATTATTATACTTGGCAAACAGTACTAGAAGTAGCATCCTGCAGGACAACAGGCAAGTCACACACAAAGTCCTCTTCTAAGCCATGCAACACATTTTATTTTCCCTTGTGCCATCCATCATGACCCATTATGGGTTTTTTTCTCCCTGCTTCAGAGGACAAGGAGGGGATGAAGAGGTGGCATCAGATGAACTACTGTGAGTCAGATGATAAAACTGCACTGGTGCCATGAATAAATGCCATAAAAACCCCCCATATCCCCTGACCCACCCCCAGATCTCCCACAGAAGCATCAACTTTTGCCCATCCAAAGGATGCTCTTCAAGTTTCCAAGGGCTGGCTTGGCTGCCAGTTTGGAGGTGACATCTGCACTCCTCAGCGTGGCTTGTGGCTCACAGAGCACGGAAGACTCACTTGAAACGGCCTCTTTTGAGTCCGTTATGGTGGACACATCCATGTCACTGGATAAATCCTCAGAGGACAAGTTAAGACACCCGAGCTTGGCGAGAGAATTGGACCTTTTCAGAGGAGAGGACACGGTCAGGCCGGCCAGCCGCAGCCTGGTCTCGATCTCCTGAGTCCTCTGCTTCACCAGGCCGGGCTTGCCCCGCACGCTGTGGATGCTGTCGCTGCTGGAGCTGCGGGTCAGGTTGGAGCTGCGGGAGGAGGAGGGGGTGTAGCAGATGGTCTTCAGAAAGTCCTTGGTGAAACTGCTCGTGTGATCCAACCGACACACGACAGGGGTGGAGGTTTTCTGAGCGATCCCCTCCAGGACGCGCTTCACCTCTAACTTCTCCACGTTTTCGGCGCCTTCGGGTATCAAGGGCACAGGTCCCAGGAGAGGCACGAGGCCGTGGGGTGCAATCAGATCCTCACTCTCCTCCACAATGCTGGAGTCCACCCTGCTCAGGGGGCTCTCTCTGAGCAGTGCTGAGGGGTCTGAGGGCAGGCTTTTCAACCGCTCCAGCTCTTTGGTGTGTTTCCTAACCAAGCCTGCTTTCTGCAGCTGAAGGAGCGACTCCTGGTGCTGCATCAAGTAACTGTTTGCACTTGGCTTCTCCAAGTCTTTGCTGAACAAGTACTTCAGATCCTTGGTCGGTTTGCTGTCTTTTCTGGCTAGAGACTCTTCTTTTACCACTTCTGCATTAAGGAGGCTCTTGTCACAGTGCGAGTTGCTCCTGGGCAGCCGAGTTTTGACCGGGGTTTTTGGTGCATCTTTTCCTTTCTTCAAAACACTGCAGTGTTGATCGAGTGGTTTGCAAGCACCGGCCTCCAAAGCTGGTCCTGCCAGCAGGGGAAGGGGAGCCTTGTTACTCTGAGTTCTGATTGCTTCCTCTGCCAGCCCCTTGCTGGGCAGGTGGTCCCCCAAGGTGGAGTTGATGTGGGAGAGGAGGGCTGGCTGGGTGCAGATGGTCGTGGATCGCCGTGCTGCGCTGGGGTTCAGCTTTTCACACTGCTCCCCGAAGGAGTCGGGAGACAAACTGGCTGAGGAGTACATGCAGTCAGTGCAGGACTGGTAGGGGGGCTTGACCTTACTGAGGATCCCAAACACGGCATCGTGCTGCAAGAGAGAAAACAGGGACAGGTAAAGGAGCGCAGAAGAGGACCCCAGCAAGCAGCAGAGAGAGAGGCACAGAACACAGGGTATATTTACAGCCACGGGGATTTGAAACAAAGCCCATTTCCACCTCTCTTAAGGCCCTGCAGCAGGGACAAAAGCCACGTACGTTCTCAGCAACCAGAACCTTCCACAGAAGAATACCTACCCTTTTGAGCGATGGTCATGCAAGCAAGTTGCCCAAAGCAGCTTATAGGGCACTCACATGCGTGCGCTCTCCCTCGGGCATCTAAATCCATAGCTTGGGCAAGCAAAGCCATGTTCAGAAGCACTTCGAAAAGGAAGAAGCTCATCATGGAATGAAAGGCTTTATCCAAGTCAAATGAAACTGTGCTATGAAGATGAGAAGAGCAGTTTCACTTGCAGTAGAGTCAGCCATGCTAATCACCTACATTTCACCTCCATACGCACCTCAAAATCCTCTGGGCAACTCCTTTTGCTGTTGTTGTTATTCAAGTTCTCTCTATTAAGCCTGCTCTCCTCCTTGTGCACGGACAAGCGCCGCTTCCACTTCTCCATCGGATGTTCCTCCCTGACACCCTCCTCCCCTGGCTCCCCGGGGCCCAGCACTATCCTTCCCTTCCTGGGGTTGAAGTCCAGTTTCTTCTTCACCTCCTTCTCAGTGAAGCTGCTCAGCTCCTCCAGTGGCTCCGCCGTCTCCAGGGCCCTGGCTGCCTCCAGCAGCCTCCCCTGGGCAGGCTGTCCCACCAGCGAGCCCGCGCGCTCCTCCAGGGCATCCCGCTCCAGCTCCCCGACGTGGAAAAAGCTCTCCCTGTCTCCGGGGATCTTGTTCTCCAGCAGCGCGTCGCAGCGGGGCGGCGGGGCCCCCCCACACCCCCCCCAGCCGGTTTTCCAGGTCCATGTCCAAGCTGTCCAGCAGGAAGCTGCCCGGCCCTGCCGTGCCATCCCCCTGCTGGGGCAGGTTGCTCTCTGCCTGCTGCTTCCAGAGCTTGTTGTGGCGCTGCTTGCTGGGGGGAGAAGAGAGACACCAGTCACCTCTGCTGAGCTGCAGGATGCTCAGTGCCAGCAACACTCATCCCTCTCCACAGCGGGGAGCTGGGGGGTTGGCTGCTGGGTCTGAGCTGGCAGGCCCACCTGGGCAAAACCACCTCTAGCATCTGGACTTTGTCCCTCCTGCCTGCCCACCCCAGGGTGTCCCTGGCTCAGCAGAGTCACAGCAGTGCCCTGCACTGCAGCCATGATGGGAAGGGCCCTCAGGAGCAGAGGTGTAGGACCTTCTGTCAGAGCAAAACACACTCCAAAC